AGGTGTCAGCGCAAGAGAGAACGTCCGTTTGACTTGGGAAGGGAATTGAATTTTTCTGAAACACCCCTTCCCATTCTCTACAACGCACCTTCTTCCCTTCCAAACTCAGATTTCAACTTTCTCCTCCTTCTCTCTAAAACCATTCTCCTTCTCTCTTCTGCAACTTACCATTTCCTACTCCGACCAACATTCAGGCACCGTGGAAGCAGTCCCGGAGTCATAAGCTACGATTTGAACCGAACGGTTTTGGATTCTGAAACGGCTTGAAGAGTTTTGGGTTAAGCGTTAAGGGTAGAGGAGAGTTTTACTGAAAACTGATTTTCTGTCTGAAGAGCGTACGCACACTTCTAATCCGGGTAAGGGAAGCTTATTAAATTTAATTCTTGTGATTTTACTGTACTGCATGTGCGTTATGGATGTTGTATGAAGTATGATTGATGATATTGGATTTTTAGTGTATGAATATAATTTATGGTTTTTGACTTGTGTATATGATATGATGATGAGATAATACATGAGAAGTATGGATTGTACTATGATATGAGTAATTAAATGTATGAAAGTTTATACTGAAAAATGAGTTACTGTAAGTGAGAATTTGGACATACGATTTATATGATAATGAACGTTCGTTATCGAATGGTCTTTGACCGTTCGGTATTCTTAGTAATTCCCTTGAAAATGAATCCTTTCATCTGGAAAGAATTTGTGAGGTCGAACGCCCTCTTATACATAACTTTACGTTTGAGCGTTCGGCCAAACGTAGACATCAGGAGTGTTGTGTGAGGAATTGAGAAGCTTGAAAATCTACCTTCGGACACTTAGTCAAATTGTTAAAACATAGACTTTAAGTATCTCATCTTATATAAATCCCAATTTTTATGATTTTGAATCAGCGAATGGTCTCGACCCAAAAGCATACGTCCTAAGTGACGCTCGGTCTTATACCGAACGCTCGTCCCAGAGCGTACGTTATAAGTAGCGCTCGGTCCTATACCGAACGCTCGTTCTTTCCGTAATTTTCCAACGAACATAAATAGCGTTCGTCCTAATTTTCATAGCGTTCGTCCGAAAAATTAAATAGCGTTCGTTCTAAAATTTCAGTAAATTCGAGTACCGCGTTCGGTCATTTACTGGCAGTCAGTTATTCTAACTAAATTGTACTTAGTACATTTAGTACTCGTCTTCTGTATCTTCATTCAGTTGAATTGACTCCGAAACCTTGGCAAGTGAATTATTCTAAGTATAAGTTGAATTGTTCTAGAGTCAGTTCATTTAACTGATTCAAATTGTAATAGCGTTCGTCATGTAAAAAGTGTCAGCTTTACCCCTTCGGAAAAGAAGATCTTTCGGTCTCGCTCTTGACGTTCGTCCTCGTTATGAAGAGGATTGAACGCTCGTCTTTTTATGGAAGTGGAACAAAGAATGAAAATGTTAATAAGAGGAAATATTATGATATGCGAACAGTTTAAGAACTGAAATTATGATTGTGGATTTTGAACGAGCGTTCCAGGGAGGAACGACTCTTGAATGGAAATTGAGATTTGTAAAGTATGAACGTGGTAAGCTTAGATGGTGGTTCATCCTGATATTCCGTGAGTGCTCGTTCTCAAGTAGAGATGAGTATGTCATGTGTGGTAATGGCAGGAGGTCTTAGTCCATAACTGTAACTTGGACAGAACTGACTAACCTCAGGTGGTGACTGATGAGCATTCCAGTTATTCCACCTGTGTGCACGGACGCCTTAGCTACACAGGATTCATACAGTCCGGACAGTCAGTCTAGTACCAGTAAATTGATTGAGTTAATGGATGAATTGAATGTATGTGTTGTGAATTATTTGATGTATTTGATATGTATGAAATGTATGTTTTGCTTGAATTAAATCCGATAAGCTTACCCTTGCATTTTCCTTTGTGTTGTCTGTATCTGTACGTCCGTCTTGTCCTTGCAATGATCATCCGTGTGGATGTGAGCAGAGGGAGATGCATCGCTGGAGGAAACACTTGAAGAAGGATTCATTGCTGAAGAGAATCTTGTAGAGGTTGAAGTGAAGGCCGAACAGTCGGACGTTCGGTGATCTGTTAGCTTAGTTAGGTTAGCGGGCCGCTTTAGAACGAGCGCTCTTTTACTGTTTGTTGAATATTGGGACGTTCGGTAATTGCTTTGTAAACTGTTCGTCCTTATTATTACTGAATGCTCGACAATTTATATGTATATATGTAGGCCGTTCGGCCACTTGTGAATTTTATTCCTTTTATTTTAAAACTGTTTTGTCATATTAATATATGTTAATATTCTATTATATAGTTAATGACTGTATAATTTTGGGACGTTACAATTTACATTAATCTCCAGTTCATTATAATTATTTATTTTACATTATTATTTATAATATTATTTAAATAGTGAAGTATTGTACACTTTTTAAAAGTTATTGTTACTAGCGTCGGAGAAACCAACACATATTAAACAATTGCTTTAATTAAAATCTAATTTAAAAATTAATAATAAATCCACGCTAACGAATTAATATATATGATTTTAATGTTACATACACATACATTCCAAATGGACACTAATATTTATTTCGGATATCTTTACATTTTAGCATCGAATTTGATGGACAATAAATAATAATTTTCTTGTAGTGTTATTTCCTTTATTTATTGATGAGAAGTCTAATCCTATAATGTATATATATAAGTATAATAGTAATAATATTAATATTAATAATATTGTGAAGAACTATTTAAATTAGGAAAACGATAATAAAGAGGTAAGTAATTCGTTCAAATTTGTATTTTAAATTTACCCTTATTTATTAAATTCTTCGCCTTACTATAAAATTCAGCAACATGTTATTTATGCTATCACATCATCTTTCACATCAACATTATTTGTTACTTTGATTACAGATCTAGAAAAGAAAATTTTGATTTATTTATTTATTTGATGCTTTATGTAGTATTAATTAAACTGAACTTTAAATTTCCTATACAAGTATATAGTTAAATAACATATTTCCTATATAAAGTTCATATAATTAATATAAAATATATTTATTGATTAAAATAAATGAAGACTCGTGTACGTTTATTCATTGAATATATAAAGATCATTAAAGGCAAGTATTAATTATAAAAAAAGGTTAAATGGTTGGAAATAAACTACCAATTTACTACTTACATCATTAATTCAATCAGTCATTGATATTATAATAAAAATTAAATTCATCCTTAATAAAGATAAAAATACAATATTATTCTTAAAATCATAAATTTTTGCATCAACTAGTCATTTAAATTGTAATAATAAAATAAATTTGACCCAAATGATAAATTTATGAATCAATTAGTCATTTGTATTTTCACTTAGTTTTTCACAGCGAAGTGTGCTATTTATTTATTTATTTTATTCAATTTGACGTTGTTGATTAATAAATCTTTTTTTTGTGTTTCTTTTTTATTTTTCTTATTTCTCTTCTTATATTATAATTGTTTTTGTTTATTTCTTTCTCAATTGTTATCGTTGTAAGAATTATTTATAAATCATATTTTTTATATAAATTGTGATCTTAAACTGATATGAAAAATAACATTTTCTATATAATTTTACAATTGGTATAAAAAATTGAAACTTTTTATATCGATTTAAAAATCATATAAATTTTTTTATAAACCAATATAAAAGAATTTTCCTACTTTTAAGGTCCATGCCATTATTTTATTTATTAAAGGATCAATTAGATTCTCAATATGATTGTAACTAAATTGAAGGACATGCAATTGAAGTATTGTTTTATCATTTTAAAATTTTTAAGGACTAATTTGATAAATTATTACCATTTTCATGAGCTAAATTGATAGTTTGCTCAACAATTATAACGAAAATTCAACAATAAGTTAATGTTAAAAAAAACGTATCTCTTTTATACGTTAGAAATATTTAAAATTTTCAAATGATATATTCCTAGTTTATCCATTGGGTAGTGTATTTTTGTTAGTAATGATTTTTTTCCTAATGTGGAAAGTAAGACTAATTAATATCCACAACATATTCTATCTTTAATGTATGAACATATAGAGTGTCTAAGTATACATCAATTTATTTTTATCAGTATGTAGTGGTGTAACAACTATTTACATTACCAAATTCACAACTAGTATTAAATTAGTGAATATCTTGAATAGGTATGCAATTTAATCATTAATTGAATTTAATGAATATTATTTTAAATTAAGTAATCAAATTAATTGTCGATTCCCAGACACACTTTTTTCCTTCTAGTTTAACTCAAGAGAGCATAGCAAGAAAATAAAACTTTTTTTTTTGTTTGATTTAGTTTCCCAAAAACTTAAACCATATATTATTGTTCTGTCAAAGGTAAAATATGTTTTTCTTTCCTAAATTATTATAAAATAATGTGTTTCATCTATACACTTTATAAAATTTTTGTAAACTCGGTTTCTTACATGAAAAACACTCACATGCCGTTTAATGAAAAAGGTGTTTATATAATTTTTATAAAACTCAGAATCTAAATAATTTATTATTTATTTTAGAAACATATTTTTTATAATAGTTTGAAGAAGAAAAAATATTTAACTCAATATAAAAATTTCCTATTAGACAATAAAGTTATTACAGTTCTTATGGCAATTGTAAAGAATTTGAATAATAACTAAACATGTTCTACAAATATTTTTGCAAGTAATCTTATTTTAACATAATAATTAATATCCTTTCTATTTTTCCTCTTTTATTTTTGTTCATATTTATCAATAAATGAATAAAAGCAAGAGGATAAGTCTCTTTTTTCCCAGAAATAGTAAAAGAAAAACACAGAAAAATTGAATATTTTGTTTTTATGAGGTAAGAAGTTAAGTATTAAATAGTGAGCAACAACCCTAAAAAACGTGACCATCTTTGTGCCCTTTTTCATCACTCTGAACTTTAGGGTTTCTCTCTGCAGTTCCTGATTTTCAAGAATTGAATCCATGGCCATGGACAATTCTCCTTCAGCTGCTGAAAACATGCCCAATTATCGTGTTAATCACTGGAGGCAAGATGAGGATCAAAAGCTAACCCAACTTGTTCAAGAACATGGTCCCCAAGACTGGAATGTAATTGCTCAACATATACAAGGACGAACTGGTAAATCTATCAATTAATTAATTAGAGTTGTAATTAAGATCGTTAATTACATATATGTCCCCTTAAAAATATAATTGGATTAGGTTATTGGAATATATATGCAGTTCATATGTCCCTATTTTTTTTAGCATTGCTGCATGTCTAGAACTAAAAATTGAGTACCCCATCACGTTATTTGTTACGAAAATCTAGTGGAATAAAAATTAGAATATAATTTAGCTTTCGACGGAGAAAAAAATGAGATTTTTTTGAAAAAAAATTATAAATCTTAACTAAACAATTATACAAGAGTGATAAAGATTGGTTTGTGGATCATATGGTTGGAATCATGTTCTTATCTTTCGTGTTCTTACAAGGTTTTCAATATTTTAATTGGTTGAATAAAATGATTATATTTTAATGAATTAATTAATCAATTAATTAATCAATTAATTAATTGTATTTGATATTTTCTTACGTGCGTGCGCAGGGAGAGAAAGAAAAAATCGATATTCACGAGTTGATAAAATACATTAGCTTCCATTAATACAAGAAAATGTTTTTTTTAACAATTCTTTTTTTATAATTTTTTTATAAATACTTATGCGGTAGTTTTTATTGTTCTTTTTAAATATATGGACCAACAAAATAATGATACATAATTTATTATCAAAAAATTATTAAAAAATTTTAACTAATCTAATATAACCTGTGTTAAACTGAAATTAATATTAAAATGCTATATAATATATAATCATGAGAAATTATTTTATTATGATATACTAAATAACAAGTACGGAAGATAAATATTCAGAACATTTTTGTTTTTGTTTTTTGTAAAATAAGAATAAATCACAACTAAATATATATACAGAGTGGTAAGGATAGATTTTATTCACATCAACCATAAACATCTTATGTACATATGTTCATTGGAATCAAGTTCTGATTTATTTATTGCACAAAATTCATATCAGGTTTAACAAATTTAATCATATTTGATATTTCTTTTGTCACATACCAGCAGATAAACTTCGAGAGAAAATTATAAACAGAAATTAAATATTGTATAAAATTCTTCTGATGCAGATACGGGTATCACTCTATTATAGTATATATTTATAGTTTAGTAAATTTTGTAATGTATTTTGAAAAGTGGTTTTGATTATTGTTCAGGGAAAAGTTGCAGATTAAGGTGGCGCAATCATCTTGATCCTGGTGTTAACAGAAACTCTTTCACGAAAGAAGAAGAAGAGAGGCTAATTGCAGCTCGAGAGGTTTATGGAGCAAAATGGGCAACCATAGCCAAACTGTTCGAGGGGAGAACCGACAATGCCTTGAAAAACCATTGGCACGTTTTGATCGCACGAAAGCGAAAGGAAGGCAACAATGGAAGTTTGCAAGAGCTGATGAACGGTTCAAGTTCTTCCTCTTCTCACGATGACGCATTGTTTGACATGATGAACTTCAACGCTACACAAAGGGCACTTGCACCGGTGTGTCCCAGTGATTCGTTGAGCCCTATGAACTTTGGATCTGTGCCATCCTTCTCCGACTCTTTTCCTGGGAAGGAAGAGAGTGATCCTTTTGGGCTGTTGAATCCTGCTGCTACTTCTGGCGGAATGATGAAAAAGGGCTTGTTTCATAGCTCATCATCGGCATTCACTAAATTTAAGGGTTCTTCTTCCTCGGACAGAAATGAACCACATGACGCTGGATTCAAGGATGGTACTTTCTATGATTTTCTTGGTGTCGGTGCTGATGATGAGTGAAAGTGTTTTTAATATTAAACTTTACTATGTTACTGGACTCTCTTTTTTCTGTCTCCTTTTCAAAACATTGCTCTAACTAAACTTTTAAGTAGTGATTACAGTTACGCAGATTGTAATCACAATATGATTATTAAATTGAGACTTCTAAAATTATGATATACTGTGATCAAACCTGGATGTGATACACTATATGTAGGGTTTTAAGGTAGTGAAATATACATCTTTTTATTGAAATTTCAGAATTTTTAATAAAAAGATGTATCAGATGCTTCCATTTATAAAATCATATATATATATATATATATATATATATATATATA